TTTTTTTTTTTTTTTAAATAACATTTTACTGTATGTTGGTGAAGGTTTACACAGCAGTTTAGGTTCCCGTTCAACATTTTCTGTACACATTGTGACATTTGTCACAATGCATGAACATTCTCATTCTCTCCTTTCTGGTTGTTCCATTTCCATTAAACTAGTTTCCCTGCCCTCTTACATTCTCATCTTTGTTTTAAAGTAATTATTGATTATTGGGTTTCATGTAGGTGATTTTTTAAAGGTGCACAGTACTTACCAGTGATGTTATTTTTTTGAGCCAGTTTGTTATTTAGCTACAAGGTAACCTTGGGTTCGTTTCTGTTCAGGGTTTGAAGAGTCTATCAGGACGGTAGCCTCAGGTAGTCCTGAAGGCTCAACCAGTCCAGTAGGTCTTTGTTTTTTTGAGGTTCTGCTCCATTTTTCTTCTCTTCTATCAGAGTCCAACTATTGTTCCCTAATTAGAATGGTCATAGTGATAGCTGAGCACCATCTAGTTCTTTTGGTCTCGGGGTTGTTGAGGCCATCGGTCATGTGACTGTCCTGTAAACTAGTTTCTTCTTTGAGTCTTGGGTTTCCTTCTTTCTCTTTTGTGCTAGATGAGTAGGGACCAATAGTTGTATCTTAGATGGCCACTTGCAAGACCCCAAACACTACTCACCAAACTAGGATGTAGAGCATAACTTTATGAACTATATTATGCAGTACACCAAGATGGCCCATGAGACTATGGTCCTAGTCTATTGAAGAGATTTTTTTTTAAAAAAATACTGTGTTTAAGTGAAAGTTTATACAGCAGATTAGATTCCCTATGGGATCAAATTGACAACAGTGACTCAGAAGATTAGTGAGGAACCTTGGGGAGCAGTGAGTTTGTTAATGAAGAAGGAACAGCTCAGAAAAAGAGGGTGGGAGTGGTTGAAGGACTCTGTGTGATCAGTGTCACTGAATTGTACCTGTAGAAACTGTTGAATTGGTGTATGTTCAACAACAACAAAAAAGGTTGGAAAAAAATTAGATTCCCATTCAGCAATTCATACATGCATCTTTTCATGACATTGATTATAATCCCCTCAATGTCACCATTTTCACCCTGCCTGCCCTGTTTCCATCTGTCCAGTTCCCTGCTCTTCCTTTTTATCTTTGATTTTGGGTAAATGTTGACTGTTAGGTCTTGGATAGTTGACTGTTTAAAGGAACACATTCCTCACACGTGTTATTGTTTACTTTATGGGCCAATCTCTTGTTTGTCTGAAAGGTGACCTCTAGGAGTGGTTTCAGTTCTAAGTTAAAAGGGTATCTTACAGCAGTAAAATTGGGGGGTTCCTCTAGTCTCTGTTAGTCCAGTAAGTCTGGTCCTTTTTTATGAATTTGAATTTTGTCCTACGCTTTTCTCCTATTTTTACTGGGACCTTCCATTGTGTCTCTGGTCAGAACAGTTGGTGATGGTAGCCAGGCACCATCTAGTTCTTCTGGTCTCAGGATAGATTAGGATTGTGGTTTGCATGGGCCATTAGTCCTGTGTAGTAATTTCTTCCTTGAGTCTTTGGTTTCCTTCACTCTCCTTTGCTTCAGACTGAAAGAAACCTAAATACCTACTCCTCAGTTATCAACATAGTTAGGTTCCAAACACTAGGTAATTATGGGAAAATCAGCATTATGCGAAAATGGGGGATGACCACATCAGATCACAAAATGGAGGGTGACTACATCATCAGTTATATAACTGCCAAATTACATTATTACATAACTACCAGACCACTGAGACTCATGGCCCAGCCAAGTTGACACACAGCCTTAACCATCACAGCCAGTGTCACTCTCGCCTTACATCTCAATGTTCGTTACAACCAGATTTATGTCATTAATGCACAAACTAATC